CTTTTGATGATGCTTTACAATTTACACCCCTTTCCACTGACTTCCTGCAGAATAAATTCCTGTGTTTACAAGAGGCCCAGGGGATTCACATCTCCTTGAAAGCTGAGCATTTGTCATACTTGCTTTTTGCTATGCTGTTTCCTTTTCTATTTGGAACATGAACCACTGTTTTCCTAAGTAATTTCTGGCACAGTCTAAAGCTTTTGTCCTAACTTAGTGTCCTTTTGAATTCATTTCTTTAAAGCCTCCCTCCCTAAAACTGTACTGCTGTTCCCCTTAGGGCAAAATACTGTGGCTAGTTTTAAACACATCCACGGTCTCCATCTCTAGCAGATAAATTTAGCCTCTTGGTGACACTAGAAGTGAGACTTAACTTCAGTGGTTTAGTTTCTGATTAGCACCTAACTGCCTTATTCTCCAGCTGGATTTCCCTTCAGTGACTTCATTGAGGTATTTTTGTCATAAGACTTCTTTTTCTAGCAAACCATACTGATTTTCCAAATTCAAAAATGAAAGCAAAGATGTTTCCGAAACCACAGTGCTTCAAATATATTGGTTTGTTTCTTCATACTCCAGGGTTGTCTATTTCTCTGAAAATATAAATACATTTATATAAACACCCAGAAACTCTGGAAGCCAAATAAAGGCCTAGTTCAATCTTTTTTCTTAGAGATTAACCCTCAAGAAAGAAGGTTCACACATTTTTAGGCCTTTATAATGCTGAAAGTTTTAAAAATTTAATCACACAGGCATAGCTACTATACAGTCACTCTGATGTTCAGCTCATGAAGGAAAGGGAATATGCTTTACAAGTATAAGCTACCTCATACTAGATCTATATTAGAAGGTAGTAACTTGTGGTATGCAAGAAATGCAGAAGCCGAGTGGGCAGTAACCACAAGGCCAAGAAGAGGAGGAGCAAGAGGGCAACACCATGACCACACAGTGATTGGCAGGACTGGAATGTCGCCTTGCTATAAAACTTAGGGCTCGAAATTAAACTGATCACTTGGAGCATCCATACTGTGTGTGCTGTGTTTCCTTGACCCGCAGACGGCAGGGTGTCTGCGTGATCCTTCGGGTAACCTTAAAGTTGATACAAGAACCAACAGCAACTGACCAATCTGCATTGAGAGAATATCACACCTAGACAAAATAGTTATACTAATTGCAACATAGAGTTCAAGCTCTGGCTTGATCGTAGGAAGCCTTTGTACTGCTCACTTGCACTCAGACTCTAGTCTAGGACCAGCAGGAGCAAGGGAGTCTGTAGGAAGCTCCTATCAGTCCGGGCTACGCCAAGCATTTCTGTTGATGTAGAAGGGTCCCTTTCTTAACAAAGAAAATTGTAGGTGAGAGAGCAAAACTGGCCTTTTAAAAGCAAGCCAATATCGACAGGCAGTTTTAGAAACGTTTGTTTTTTTGGTTTTTTTTATAAATGAAGCAAACAGTAACACCTATAGTTTAAGCCTCAGTTCAATAATTCTGTTGTTTCTCATGCTGAAATAAGGAAAAAAACACATTCTTATTCATGTTGAAAGTACGTATATAGCCATTTAACTGAAACTTTATAGCATCTCTACTAATGGAGATTATAAGTTTGACATTAAAATTACCCTTCCCCCTAAAAACAGCCTCTCTATATCTCAGTTTGTACATGCTCATTAGATTCTCAGTAGAGTCTGGTAAATGCCTCTCCAAAGATTTGGTATGTACTCAACATGTTAAAGCATAAGTTACCAGGACTAAGAAAAAAAAACCCAAACAAAAAACAATCCAAACAAAAAACAACCAACCCAAAAAACCCTGTATGGAGGAAACTTGCATTTCTTATTCTGGAAATTATCCTTCTCTCCTCTCATAGTCCTCCTCATCATCTAGTAGTTGAATAAGCAGAAAAGGAAACAGTGGCTTTTTCTTCTTTTCAGAATGGCACCTCCTCAAAATAGAATGCGGGCAAAGCTTAACCAGCAAACAGTTTTAAGCAAGGAAGCTTTTCAGAGGGTTAATGTGTATATTTGAGTCTATGCATATGCATATGCATATATACACATACACATTTTCTCTTCAGCAGGTATTCAGCCACTTAGCTCTCTTTGTTGAGACTTTCATGAAGGGATCCTTTCTGTTAGCTAAAATCAAACTGAGCAGGGGGAGAACCACATGGAAACCATGTTTTTCTGTCAGCAGCATCACAGCTAAAAGTGGAGGAGACAACTTGCACCAAGTGAGGCTGGAGGAACATTGTCCCATTCAGCAACTGAGCAGAGTAACCCAGGTAATCCTGGGTGGCTGGGAAACCTGGTATTTCCTGACTTGTACATTTTGAGGGTTTTTCAAATGTTTTTATATATCTTTTCAGTGGAGTATGGTAATAGTCAGTCACAGGAGCATAAATTGCCTCTCATCCTAAAACAGACTGTAGGGGATAGTATTGTTGCAAGAATGGGACAATCCAGTGTGAAAAATTTAATTTTAAATCCGCTGAGCATTTGCGTAAAAATAATTCCAAATAAACCCTGCCTTTTGTTGGCTCAGGGGTAGACAGGATAGTGCAAAGAATGTCCCTTATGACAAAGGAAATCCCCAGAATGCAGCTCTGTGGCAGACTTCATCTCCGTGCCTCGCTGCCAGCATGCTGAGCACACTTTCCTAGAGCCATTTTTGCATTGCAACTAACCTGAGTTCATATGGTTAGTTCCTTCATCAGCATTAATGTAGCTGGGGAGATTTTTCTTGAAACACACTGGGATATAGGTCCATGAACACAGGACAAGCCCTGAGGAACACCTCTTGGAGGTGTCCCTCAGTTGCAGGTTGTTCTTGATAATGGTCACTAATGGAGCTGCCATGTGTCTAGGATGTGCCCTTTGAGGCTGACACTGTCAGCCTGACCTATACAAATGAGTGTCAGCCTATTGCCCAACTGCATAAAGAATTAAAACCAACCTTGTCATTCTTTGCAGGCACCAACCACAAAAGCCCTGAGAAGTTAGGTTTGGATTGGTTTGGGATTCCCTGTCCTTGGCATCAGGATGAGACCCTGACCAAGTCAGAGTTAGTGTGAAAAGTTTTGCCTTTTCCTTGCAATGGGCATGGCAAAAGATAATCAAAGAATCCCAAACTGTAAACTTAAGGTTTATTTAAAATCTAAGATGACAAAGTCAGAAAAAGATAACTTTGTGAACAAAGAAAGCACAGAGGCAGAGTAAATAAACCACTTTAAATCAAACTTCCCCCCTTGTCAGAGATTTCCTTGTAACCAAAGTTTGCTCCATAGTGGCTTTCTGGGTTTGATGGACTTCATGTAGTTCCACGGTGGCCTTAGGGCAGCTTCCCCCTTTCTGTCACCTCTGATGCATAGCTACTTGGATCTGCTGCTTCCTGAAGCCTCCAAACTCCCCCTAGGTCCAGTGCCTCCAGGGAAGAGGTATTTCTCTGCCTTTCACCTTCAGTAGAGCCCACCTGATCAAGGGGCAGCAGCTGGAATATGAACATAAAAGGGCAGTCCTCCTCCAGGCTGCTCCGTAACACAATACAGAGCCCTCTCCCACCCCTTCCATAAACTGAGTACAAACAAATAGCCCAGCACAGCTTCCTTCTAGAATAATAGCTTAGATTCTGGTTTCTGCCATTGAGATTATTCTGTCACAGCTACATATTCTTACTTTATTGGTGATTAAAGGTCGGGAGGGAACTACAAATATGATTCAAAAGCATCTTGATGAACAAGGGCAGTGAAAAGTATTGCTTGTCTGAGGAACATCAAAATGTGCTTATAAGTCAGAAAGAGAGAGTTTTTCCTGGATGACTCCATTTTCACTACCCTTGGCCACAACATTCCGAGTAGAAATTCTTTGATTAAGCAAAACCTTTTTTTTTTCCAATGAGAAAATATGCCGTTACAGCCACTTCATCAAGGAATTCACAGAGCTTCTCCACCCTGCAGATGGAGAGAGCCATGAATGGCACCATTTTAAACAGGAATGATTCTGCTTCAAAGGACATGGTAAGAATGATGATCCTCAGAGTCACAAAAGCCCTAGGATCCCAAGAGCTGCTTGAAGCGCATTGGAAGAGCTTTGGTAATATTCAGTTTGCTGGTCTGCTCTACTGGTACCACCTGGTTTGGGTGTTGGCTCTAACTTTTCTGTGCAGGAAAAAGCTTCATGCATGATCTTCTCCTTTGATCATTATCCACGAAAAAAAGGATAGTCCGCTGTGTTGCCATTCCCTGTAGGTCACTCTCATACTATTCACTGACCTCTTCTCAGGTAACTGTGGTTTTGATTTGACTATTTTCTGTCCAGTTGAGCTATTATTGTGACTCTTTTTCAGGCTTTGGTGGTCTCTACCCATCTTCATCCATGCCCTTCCCCAGAAGGGCTAAGTCTAAATCTGATATACCTTCCTGGACTAAGGGTGAATTTCTGCAGCGAGCTGCTGTATAGGATCATTTCCCTCTTGGTGAATCACATTTTAACCCCATAGGGTCTGGTACCCTGTGTGGTTTTTTAAGAGACAGTCTTTTAGAGAGTAAGGTCTATACACAAGCACAGAGCAATGAGTGTGATTGCACTTTTCTACAGGATCCAAAATACGCGTTCACCTTCACTTGTGGCTGCAGGGAAGACCAGTGCATGGCAAGGCATTGAAGTGTATCCTTGTGCACAAACAGGACTGTGAATGTATGGTTATATATGCATGTGTCTATGAGAGATAGGATCTGTTTGTGGTCACACTTATCACTGAGGTTGGACTCACATCACCTAACAGTGGCTGCCTGGAAGTCAGGCATCTGGTATGGGCAAGTCACCCAGACTCCTAAAGTGTGACAATACAGGCTCCTCTAGGTGGGGATCCATCCAGTCTTGGACACCCATCTTGGGAAAGAATATGCTAAGCTTGGCAAGGTGTCTAGAGGGAGCCTGTAAGTCTCTTTGACTAGATATTTAGGCAGCTAAAGTGAGACAAATCTCATCCACCATTCCTACAGGAAGCTATTCTGAAATATCTGCAGCTTTTTCACACATATTTTGTGTGGTTGAGGATCCATAGCAAGGTGCAGTTTCTACTGTCTTATTTCCAATGACAGCGCATAAATAATCAACATAGGTGACTCCTGTAAACCTGAACAGGGAGAGAAAGTCAGATTTAGTTGCATTCCTGACCTACTTGGATGCAATGTAGTCAATATCCCTTCCGTGAAAGACAGTGGCACCTGGCCTTGCTGCTAAGCTATATTATTGTCAGTGAAATTAAAAGATGCCTTGTTGGAGTATCCCTCCTATTCCTTAATTTTCTTCCCCAGACCACAACAAAATTATATGGGCTATGCTTTCCCATCCAGAGACCTTCCCCTTCTTTGGTAGCCTCCATTCAATGGTGCTGATATCACGCTCCCTCTTGTACCTGCCTCATATATCCTTTCTTTCCCCACTGAACTCCATCTAGTCAGATTCCCCCTTCCCTGCCAGAACTACAGCTGTGTCCTCTCTTGCCATCCTGATGTGACATGCCTGTATTCCCACTTGACTCATTCATGGGCTCCTTTTGACTTGGCATAGGGGTGTGCTGAAGCACCTGAATCTCAAGGAATCAGGCTACTACAAACTGCAGTCCCTGATCTCACTTGTACTGCCTGTTGTTGGCTCTGGGTTGTTGGGTTTTTTTACTGTTTCCAGAGGTTGCATCAAAGTGATTTGCCAGAATAAGCTTACGTGTCTTCTCTATATCCCACGTTGTTAATCCACTTCCACTTTTTCTCGCTCGTAGAGTACGTGAGACCAAGTAAGTAGTACCGACCTCTTGATTGTGAAAGAAGATAGTCCTAGAAAGGAAACAATCAATGATAATTAAAATTACATTTTCTTCACCAGAGGTACACAGAAAGCTTAGTGCCAAACAGCCAACACAGAAAGAACAGCATGCATCCAGCCACAACATCTCTTTCCACAGCTTCAGAGGATGATTTTTTCCATTTTTATTTAAACTTATCTCTCTTCCTGGAGCTTCTTAGGAATCGTCTAAACAGAATAATACACCTGTGATACCATTAAAGCAGAACACTGTAGGTAGCCAGGTGAATTGATAACTGGAGACACTTTTTGATTCCAATTGTGATGGGAAAGCCTTTTCAGTTTTCATCAAAGCAATGGCTCTCACAAATAAGTGTCTGTTCAACTTGCTTGGTCTTGGTTTCTGTACTAAACCCCTTTAAAACATGTCAGGTAGGCAGAGAGCTTGTTCCTTCCCATGGGAGCATGCCTGGGGAGAGAAGTTTCCAAATGCAAGACTTCAAGTACCAAGATGCATCTTACTGTGAAGGTATTTGCTATCGTACAGAGGTACTTGATGTATATGGTTAACCATAGATTATAGTCCAGCATAGATATCTAAGATGAGGTCATCACACAGTGGACATCAGACCTTTGGCATACAGGTCAAGCAACCCTAGAAGCAGTCCCATGTATTTAGATCTCACCATTTCTTCCTTGTCGTCAATGACCACCAAGTCTGAATTCATGTCAGTACATTCTTTACGGGAGGCGTTCCAGTCTTTTTTTTCCATCTTTTCAGAAAAGAAGTAGCATTTTTTCCCATTTTTTTTCCAACATGGGGGGCAGTCTGCAGGAGGGAAGAACAGGTGTGGAAAAATCTGTGTTCACACCAACAAAAGGATCCCATTGCCAAAGAAAGTTAAGAGAGTAAGTTACAGCCAGAAAAGTACTTGTGTGGTCCTGCTTATAATTTTCACCAGATCACCAGGGATCCCTGCCAGCCTGTCTAGCTAATACCAGCCCAAGAGTCATTAAGCATGAGTCAGAGAAGTAGAATCACAGACAACATTACCCAGACTTTTAAATCTTTGCTCAGGAGATAAAGAGAAATGATCAGGGCAAAAAGCAGCTTTCAGTTTTCAAAAGTCTTATTTGCCTGCTGTAAAATATGATGATAGTGATGCTACTGAAAGAAAGAACATTTCTCTCCATTTCCAGGAAGGTTACCGGGAGGAACAGAGAAGGGGACCTGGGAAACAGTGATATGATTCAGGGAGACTGTGTGATATAGTTTTTTGGTTATCCAGCAGTTCCTAAACAGAAAAAGGGGATTGCACTTAGTTAAAACACTAAGAATGGAGGGGTATTTGAAAGCAGTACGTGCACACTGATCTGTCATGCTTACTACAATGCTGTCATATCAAACGGACCATCACATTCATGTCCATTCACCCAGCCACAGGCTCCTCTGCAATAGCATGAAAGGAGTAAATTGGTTCTTCTTCCCTCTGAAAGAGTAATGCAGTGCTGACTGAGCACTACTTTTAAAGATGAAAATATGAAATGTCTTAAGTATTAGAGCTCATCCTATGAGTGTACAGGATAAGGTTGTTTATTCCTGAGATGTCAGACTTGTTGTTTGTTGTTTGTTTTTTTTCTTCTGAACAAAATCTATACACCCCATCCCCCACACCTCCCAAAGGCAATCTAACAGGCTTCTGGAAACTGTCTTTTGAATGACAGAGGATTACCTACCTAGTGCCTCTTCATAGGTGGTGGAGAATGTTTCTGAGTCAGGAGGGCTGCTTGCAGTTGGATGGTCTGGAAATACGAATACAATTTCTGCTTTAAATAGCTGACCATTTTGCTATACACTGTTAGAGCTCTTCTGGACCTCTTTGACCCCCACCATTGCCCCACACAGAATGCCTACTCCTCACCTTTTTGCTCCTCCCTTGAAAAAAACCCCACCTTTAGTACCATACTATGGAGCAGATTTCCAAACACCCCAACTCTGAAACTTAACAAAAAATACTCTGCATGTTTTCATAGTGGTAAATGTGGTGTACAGTATACACATAATTATATCAATAAGAAATAAGAGCCATCTTTGAGGGATCAGTCCTCAAGCCAATGTGTTCTTGGCTAAGTGTGCTCCCACACAGCTTGGAGCTGTGGTCACTATCTGCTCTTACCCCAAAACAACCAGGGTGAGATATTCAGGCAGAGCACACCTGTGCCCCAGCTGGAAGCTGGTCTAACAGTGCTGCTCCCCCAAATCAAAATGAGACAACAGTGTTGATTTTAGATTTTAAAGCAGATACCCAGACTGAAATAGCCTTGATTTTCCTCTTCTGACACAGTGGTTGTGAGGGATTTGTGCTCCACAGAAGGCTTCTGATTCCCAGAAAAAGTCACTGTAGAGGGAGGGTTACAAATTTATTTTTATTATCTGATGATGAGCTAGACTGCATGAATTTATCACAGAAAGAAGGGAAAAAATAGTTTTGAGAGGGTGAAGAACGTAGCTGAGGACTCAGATGGAATAAACTTATGTTTAGTTTACTAGGGAAGCTGATGTGATTTTTATGTATTTTTTGTGTATTCTCAGGGCTTTGGTTTTATCAGTTTGGAAACTCCCTCAAGAGTTTAGGTTCCATTGAAAGAACGGACTTCAGGGATCACTCACAGTTAACAGGCTAAAGGAGGATGATGTTGTTCCAGCTGGCTCCATGTAGCAGTAAGAAAATCATAGAATCATAGAATCACTTTTGTTGGAAAAGACCTTTGAGATCATCGAGTCCAACCTTTAACCTAACCCTGCCATCCCACCACTAAACCATGTCCCTAAGCACCTCATCTGCCTGGCTTTTAAATACCTCCAATGATGAGGACTCGACCACCTCCCTGGGCAGCCCATTCCAGAGCCTGACAACCCCTCCAGTGAAGAATTTTTTCCTAATGTCTAGCCTAAACCTGCCCTGGCGCAGCTTCAAACCATTCCCCCTCGTCTTATCATCTGTTACCAGGGAGAAGAGGCCGACCCCCACCTCACTACA